ACTGCATGCCCAACACTGCAAAAGTAAAGCATTATTTCAGAGAAATACAGCTCTGACTGAAGTCTTCACAACATCTCCACCCCTTCGTAGCCAGAACAACCCATCCCCGGAAAACTGGGGTTGAAAGATTGTCTGATAAGACGATATTCTTTTCATAATGGCTTCTGCTATAACTAAAGGAGTGAGCGCACTTAAATTAACCGAGGAATCGCTATTCGCTCTAGAAAACTGCTATATCTACGTTCTCCAATCTTCTATAATAATTGATCTTCTACAATTGTCAAAGCTCAGAAATCTTATTCATAGCAGGTAAAAATCGCCATTTTCATTTTCGATATCCGCGTTTCTTCGCTTCGCAGGCTGAGAAATTTAAGCAGCCAGCTTGTAGAAGAGTTTCTTGAATGATTCCGTCAGGGTCATCGACGTGATCTTACTGCCAGCTGTGAAATGTACGTGTACTATTCTTTGTAAGATCTGATAGAGCTGCTGGCTGATTCTTGAATAGACGAGTGGACTGAGAATTATAGAACCGTCAATAATTGGGATTCATTCATGTCTTCCAATAAAGCGCTATAATAGCGCTTGGCACAAAAGTGGTTGAACAAGTTCAAAAAGACGACTTCAATACCAAAGGAATGCACAGTACTTAATGGTCTACGAAACTTGAAATTATATAATGCTTTCGAAGCTACTTGTGATGGGGAACAGTTGCCAAAAAGTCAAAATTGGACGAAAAAATAGAGTGTCATTATAAATTCATCTATCAATCCTATCATTTTAGCCACGTGAATGTATTATCGGGTTTGAAAAGTTGGAAAATAGACTTTAATGTGTCGAGCAAAGATAGTGATCTGCCGGGAAGACTAGCTGATAAACCGCAAAGAGCTTGGATGGAAATTTTTCTGCCCGGCACATTACTATCGTTTCAGGGACTCGAAAAAGACGCTTCCCTGAGAAGAAGTCGGAACGGGCACAATTGGGAGCAAAGGTTTTTGCGAGAAGGTAGACATGCAGCGTATGAGCAAATCACGTTCACAGACCTTTTGCATTTATTTTTGCGATGGGAAATGGCGGCAGTCGAATAGTGGGTTGAACAACGGTAAATATTTCAAAGCCTGTTGTAGCTAATTCATCTCATGTAAAATTCTTAACAACTGTAATGGTCGAAACAGCATTAACAAAATTTTTGGCATTTTAGACATACGCCCTGCGTATCCACTCGCGCTTTCAGGAAGAGTGGTACGGATAATTAGCCATGAGGGGTGTAGTGTTTAGCTGGGATAACATATTTACTTTAGCGCAGGGGCTGAGGCAAGCAAATCTGAAAGTGATACAGGTGATGGCGAGAGGACATCGATAGTTGGTAACAACAAAAAGATAATAACTAATTAGAGCCGACATAGAGCGGTAGAAGACCTAGCATGCCCCCAAGGTCCTTCATCATGAAAAAGAAGCCCTGGAACCCCAATGTCTCATGCAAGATATGTCGGGATGGGGTGCGTAAGGCGAGAGAAAGTGATTACAAGTGACAAAGTGTACAGGGTCAAAAGCCTAGGACAGAAGAGAAACTGCATTTGTTGAGCTTTTCATTTTTCAGTAGTCAGATTCTATATGAAGAGTTATGTTCCATGGAATAGGCAGACACACATAAGCAGAAAATATGAGATCGAATTGCAATTGATTGCAATCGAAAAATTCCAGTGAGAAGCATCAGAAGACAAGAAACACTAAATGTAACACCACTACAATATTCAAAATAGGTTGGAAAGCAAAGTAGAACGAGGTAAATACTGCTGGCCGTGAAATTTCACAACCAGAAATATTGTAGTAACTTTATTAAAATGGGAACCACTCAAGGTTGATCCAACTCTCTTACTTTGCGACGAGAAGTAAGAGTGAGCCACGCGATTCGTCAGCTTCACAATGAATGAACTGAATGAACTGAGCGAACTTACCTAATGTGAATGATATTGCTTGAATCTTTGGCGTGGTAGCGAGCCGAGCGTCAAGGATCTGCTGCGACATAAATGCAAACTGGCTTGAAGGTCTCGTGTTGAACAACTGATTCATCTGACAACCTCTCTGTTAGCAGTCGTGGTGGCAAACTTCCATTTCAGAATAATCGAGTCACGACGAACTTGCCTGCAAAGTATTGTAAGCGGGATGTCAGCTCTAAAGTCTGAAGGCCTAGGGTTGGGAAATGATGATCTTATAGCCATCTCTACAGTAATAAGAAACATACCGTTAAGCCAAGTTTGGCCACAGATGATTCGAATGCTGATAATCTCCGCTCATAGGAACAGCTACGTCGCCGTAGAATAGGCTGAGCATTGAACTGCCTGAATGGCTGGACACATCAACAACCATAGCTGCCTGACACACCTCAAATTCACGTTCCCTAAGAGAACTTCAATGATGATAACTATCACTGTTCTCGATATTATATGGTAGAGATGAAAAAAAAACGATGAAAATTTTGATTCTTCGAGAAATACAAGCAATAACATCCTAAATGATTTTCACGTTCATATTCTCCAGCTTTCCAGTTTCTTCCGTAGCAATGCAAAATTAACGCCTTTCCGAACACAATGAAACTGTTCACTGACAAATGTCGCCACCAATCAAAATGCTCTTGAAATTTCGAAAGTTACCTTTCTTCATATGTTCATCCGTTTTCATTCGATAGGAAGAAATACATGAATAAATACAAAAGAAACGCTGGAACTGGAACAGAAAACAGAGGCAGGAAAAATAGGATAGAAGGGGTTCTTGACCTAACAATGGACTAACATAAGACCCAGCCAGCTGCCTTCATTTCTCCCCATAAAGGGAGATCCGTACAATAACCCCCAGGAAAGAAGATAAACTGAATTGTGGTTCATAAGGATATCACTTCTCAGAACTGTAAAAAAGAAGCAAAGATACCACTACGCGATAATGACCTGGCAGCCCAGACTCGCTCGTAGCAGACATTGCCAAACCCTTCAGAAGAACAAAGACAAGAAACAGGACCGAACTCTGCTAGTGGAGTCTTTCTTTATCGAATGAAATATAACAACACCAAAAGAAGAATTGGGAGCCGGCTTGCATTTTTCTTACGGATCAGTCCAGAAAATTTGGAAACTGGAGTTAAAGTTACTTAGGATGCGCGGCATGCTGGGTGAGACAAGATGTTGCACAAGGGGAGGCCACACGGTGGGCACAATGGAGAAAAAAAAACAATGAATTGAGGACCAAAAAGAGGAAGCGCACAAATTCAGGAGAATGTTGAGCTACATATTTCAAAAAGGTTTCCCGAGTATGAAAGGTACAAAGGGCTCTCCAAGGAGATGACCATAGGTAAGGCGTAGAGCACAAAAACTTGGAGGACTGAGGAGCGAACCGTCTCGTAACCCAGCCGAAAGCTTGGCATCAAGCTATACAAAACTTTCAGGGACGGCTTCTAAAGAAGGAAGTCAAGAAGAAATTAACCCCATGAGAGCCGTACAGCTAGTTGGCAACAAGTCAACTTCGTTCCCGAAAGGCCTTCAATGGAATTATCAGATAATTTTCATGATGTCAGATACATACGACTGGACAAGTCAGCATAACGCACGGACTATAAGTGGCCGGGCAAAAGTTGATATTTCATGGTAGGGATACAACAAGAATTACCAAGGAATTATTGCCGAGTATTCCTAACTCTGAATACCATGGGGAGAAGACCTTATGTGTAGTCCAGTGCAGCTCATGCGCCATGCTAGTGAAGGACTCCGATCACTGAGAACAAGAATACACTTATAGACCGACAGCGAGATGTATAGCAACAAGTTCGAGAGATAATGGTCTCTAAATGAAGCGGGTGAAAGCGACCAAGTTCCCTCCCCTCTAAAACAGCATAGAGCCTCGAAGAAAGCACTGAGAGGGTTACTACTAGCACTGTGAAGGGCGGTAGTAAAAGCTAAAATAGACGCGGCGTGAGTGGCTTGGAGATAATAGGTACATGGTTTCTACAACCCAGGGTGGCCTAGAGTCATCAGTGGCTACATCGTTCACTAGGCGCTGGGAACCCTCTACTTCTTCGATGCTTTTTTCAAGGTTGCATTCGACAACAAGTTACGCTGGTAGGCAGAAAATATGAATGACAGGTTCACTGCACGAAGGTGTGTGGCTGAACGACGCTTGACAAAGCCATGAACAACCCCTAATACGGCCATTCAACTGAACACAGGAATGCAGCTTTTGCACCCGATTAAGCTCGAGCAAGGAGAACAGAAGATAATATAAAATGCTGGACTTTTAAGCTCAGGACAACCAATCGTAAAGAGACTGTAAACTCCTAGCAAAAACTTTTCAATAACTTTTGTGAACTCCCGGTGATAAAATAGTGGGCAGCAGAAAAGGAAGCAGTGGACTATTGTAGTTGTGAACAATGAGGCATCCAAAAGAAGCTTGGAAGGAGTAATAATTTTTGTAAACCACAAATAGAGACATTGGTTTGTACAATGCAGTTAAAAAACAATCCAACAAAGGTGCCTTGTTTTTGGTACAATGTCCAGAAAGGGCAGTACCGGCATAGACTTCTTGCAAAATATCATTATGTATATTGACTTCTGAGGGCATACAAACACCCTTAGATATTTTTTAAAGCTCTACATATCCAGTTGGAATACTTTACTATTCACAAGTATATGGAAACATGAATACCCATACTATCATCAGTAAATATCAATCTTCAACACTTCAGGCCGGTTCCACAAGAACAACTACGGCCAAAGCTGTCAAAATATTACGACGAAAAATTCAACTGTAAAATACTCTCGAGAAATTTGCACATTCACAACTGTACACAAGCGACGAGTGAGGAATCAGTTACAGGTGTATAACACTTTGAACACGACGATTCCGTACGACCAAATAGATCTAAAGATGTCATGGTCATGACAATACAATACGCCCGACTACTAGGAAATAGTCGTGGGCGGAAACGAATAAAGCCAGCTTAAATTTCGAAAACTGATTCATCCAAACGCTCGTTTTTTCAGCAAATCGGTTATCATTTCCGAAACGGCATGGAACACTGTGGAAGATTTATCACCAGACATGGTTACGCAGATTCCGTGATTCCTAATTTTAATGAAATCAACTATTGAAAAATACAAAAAATCAAGATAGAAACGTGTTTTTTACCATCAATGGCCTGAAGAAACATACCTATAATAATCGACCACCTTGCTTTCGGTCTTCTCATGCACTTCCAATCTTCGTCGAACGACTTCTGCTGCATCATCGTCCCTCTTGAACAACGGCTCCCCCGTTATGTCGTCTTTTCCCTAGAATCATATTTTAAGAAATTGATGGATAGCTGAAATTTGGAGAAAGAATTCTACGCAACAGCTCGCACCTCAACCTTCGGAGGGTTGAAATCTAAGTTGTACGTCCTTCCTGATCCGTGATGTACGAGTTGCTTGGAGAGGCGATCTATTAGAACTTTCTTCGGCACCTACAGAAGCAGGCACTCGTACAGCAACGTATAATAAAGAAGAGTAAAATGTAAAAGGTTCAAAAAATCACAAAGCAACAAATAAGAAAAAAAAGGAAAAAAATAGAAATGACTGGATAGTATTATTCATTGTAGGATCAGCTAGGGTAAAGAAAGAAGCTTGAAAAAATCAACTTCTTCTAACACATACCTTCAATTCAACCACCAAATCTAAGGGCGCTACTTCCTCAATCATTTTCACTTGACACATGGAACGAGGATAACCTAGAAAGGTAACACTATGGATAAGGCTGTATATTTATGTGACTAATGCATTAAGAGGTTTTGGAGCTGGCCCTAAAAATTAGCTTTGGAGTCTCAACTGCATTTAGATTCGGAGAAAACTTCACAACGTGCTACATAGGGTGGCCAAATTTATTGGGCTTTATTGAATTTATTGAACCAAATTGGTGAAGTAATAATAACTTCAGAATTCATCTTTCTATCAATTGTAAATACGACCTCCCCTTTCGACACCTAAGACGAACACGACGTTTAAAAACGAACACTCATTTGCTAACTGCGTTATCACCACTTTCGGATAAATTACAATATTAGGAGACTGAACTTATATACACCGTCCTACAGCCTCCGGCATCTGAGAAAGTTTTTACACAGCCCTTCTTCCATTAACATTCTTCCGCATTCAGCACATCCTTGTTGCATTCGTCACTCTTTCGTTTTACGTGAAAATAGAATATTGGCTGAACAGCAGCCCGAGCCATCATCAATTTCGGGGCAGCAGCAGTGTAAAAATGTCACGTGGAGATACGTGAAAACAAATGCGCTCAAAGATTTGCAAGAAACTCCGGTTTTCCGCTCCTTAACAATCGCGAGCAAATAACTCTGACCAATTCCAACTTTTTCAGAATAGCGAAATAGTCTAAAACCTTGGAATAACTTGTACTTTCTCTCACGCCCAACGAGTCAACTTTTCCAGACCAACAGCAATTGTGGCCTACTACTTCTTATACCGAGTTTATGGAAAACTCGATATCAGCCAATTTCGCCACCGTGATACCAAGAACAGCATGATCGTGGAGCATTGCTGTTGATTAACATTTTTGTACAAACGGTGATGGAGGAATGCAAGCTTATGCTTGACCCTTCGGTCAAGCATAGGCTTTGCAAGCGTGAGCTGGTGAATGGAGAGCGGAGCGAGGAGGTGAAAACTGCTTACGCATCATGTGCGTAGATACGTAACGGATCCTCTGTCCTGTTTATGCAGAAAAGATAAAAGCGCGTTTCACAATCAAGTTGGAAACTTACTTTGCAAATTTTGGAAATATATAATTCTGTTATGCCCTAAAGTTGCAATCGATATGACAAAACACTAGCAGCGGTCACTCATCTTGAAAACTCTGAGAAATGCAGAGCTCCAGGAGGGAGGGATTAATTCCCTACTTTACTTCATCAAAGCCTAGAAATTCTGACTGGTTCAATCGTATCAACCGCTGTCGTCATGACATTATGTACATAGTATTTGGCTGACTTAAACATCACCATCTCAGCTCCCTCTTGTCAGATACTAACGATCTCTTCCTTCTGTTTTATTGATTTTCAAACAAGAACTCTTGCTCCAAAACAAAAAAAAAACTCACGAGATAAATTCTGAAAAGTGACAAAAAATACCTACCGTTTAGTATTAGCTTATTGCCGGCATTACGAATCTCTTCAAGAAGAACATTGCTCACTATACTGTCCGGAATCAGCTCTCCCTTGCGAACGAACGATGCGGCTCGTTGTCCAAATTCTAAATGAGCGGCCATTAGACGGAACAGTCATTTTACGCTCCGCGCGGCAAAAAAAACGCTGGTATGCTTCAAAAAATGGTGAATGAGCAAGACAATCAGTCACGTTCACGGTGCGGTCGCGCGCACCTAGTAACCTTGAAGAGAACGTTTAAAAACTCACCCGTGCCTCGTTGTATGTGGTCTCTGATTACATCACCAGCAGAGAAATATCCGAATTGATCGAATTCCTTCAACAGCATCTTCGCAATGGTGTTCTTTCCACTGCCTGCCGGACCGCTGAGCAAAACACGTAGCATGGTCTGCAAAAAATACTATTCTGATCCCAAAGTTAATCACATTGCGACGAGTCGTCAATGCGCGTTAAGCTATTTCCCTCAACCAGGTGAGAGGGGGACAAAAAAAGTGGTTAAATAAAGCATTTCTCTGTGCCGATGAGCATGTGCTTCACATACTTTACGAACGGGTGGAGAAGTGTGCAGAACACTCTAATACTGCTATAGATCGATGTAGTGAATAAAGTCGAAAAAGGCTAACAGCAAATAAAAGTTGTGTAGAGACCAAGATAATGTCAATAAGGTAGCTCCAGACGAGACAATGAGAATTTTACAAACTTTTCGGATCGATATGATTGATACATGAGCTTCCAAACTTTAAAGATTCGAGTTCAAAGGAATGCAATGAATGAAGGCGCAAGAACTCGAAAAAATTTATGGTAGAAACCGTCACAAAATGAGAAACAAACAATGATGTCATGTGCAAAAGACACTGCGAGCTTATGACGTCGAGGCTGCTGTATTGACTGCATAAGCGACGCTGTCATAAGCTTGACGACAGAATCGCAGTGCACGAAAATACCGTCTTCACACTTGGCGCTGGTCGATGGGCCAAAGGAAAAAAGCGCGTCGGCATTAATCGATATATTGTTAACATCTTCATTGCGCTTCAATACGGAGTAGTAAAAACTGAAAGAAAAGTCGAAAATAAAAGTGGAAAACAAAAACTTGAAAAAAAAGAATAGAAGAAAAGTACCGGTTCAGTTGAGAACAAGAAGGCTCGCAATTCGCGACAGGCCTCATTCAGAACTGAAAAGCATGGAAGGGCAGTTGTATTATCATCTCAATATTATCATATTGAAATGCAGTTTACGTAAGCAGAAGACATGGTCTTGTTTTTAACAGTGTAATAATAATAATAATGTAATAGGTACGCTAGTTTGAAAACTCCTACCTGAGAAGCTTTTAACAGCAATCAAAAGTGCGATTATATCGGCAAAATTTGAGGTCAAGCCGCACACGTGGCGGTAGAGTGCAAGGTAGAAATGAAGTCAGAGCGGGATTTCAATGTGAAAATTATTCACAACCTTTGAGTGCACCTCTTCTTTATTGCAGTCACAAAAGCATCAAAAAATTGTAACTCTAGAAATTAGTAGCGCAGGAATTAAGTGGGAAGAATGAGCTCGCATACGAACAGAAGAGTTGGAAGAAACACGATCTAAAGACTCAGAAGAAATAGCTTTTTTGAAGTCCCACTACGGTCGTTGCATGCTCACGACAAAAGGGTGAATGTTAATCTTAATCGCGATGAGTCCCGGGCCGCTTGGGCAGCATTACCCCAACCCATCGACAACACAACCGCAATACATCAGCAAGTATTGTTATGTCGGCTTCAATCGACTCCTGTAGTCGAGCATCCATCCACATCCATGTCCATACACCTACGAAATTTTGCCTCTTTCTCATTCATCACGTATGGATGTATGTAGAGGTGAAGGCAGAATTGTAGTTTCACCAACAGTCAAAAAGTTACTTAAACAAGCAAAAGGAACAAAATCCAGCATGGAACAGGATCCATGAAAGGTGTTCAGCTAAACTACGGTTGCCGCCTTCATATATTTAGAACGAGGAATAAGATGTTCGGACTTTCTGCATGCTAAAACGTTCACTGGTGAACAACGAAGATCTGTTCGTCTTGGATCACTTTCCTATTTTCCATTTTATTAGATCTCGAGAATAGAAGGATTGTAGAAACCGAAGAGGAACGGCTCAAAGCTTACAACAGGACATCAGAGGGGTGCAGTTTTGATAAAGATTGGCCGTTTGTAAGGCAGACATTTCACCGTAAGAATGAATCACAACAGAGTTTAAATACCTCCTCAAAATAATTTACTCACACGTAAAGAAGCATTGGGTGTGGTTTCGAAGAAGATGGGGCCTGAAATAAATGCATGTCGGTCGTACGTGATTGTAAACGAACTAACATTTTCCATTACGTCATCTCCCGCCCCACCTGCGAAAAACCCAATGTGACGTAGTAATCACGGTCACGTGCTTAAGTAATCACAGTTCTGACTACCTACCGAGATTTCAAAAAACCTGTTTTGACGTAGCCTACTGCCGTCCACTTACTCACTGACAAATCCTCTTTACTGAATGAGCCATCCTTTCGAAGAGTCTTGATAGGCAAAAAACTTGCTTGTGAACCTTCAACGTTCAGAAGCGCCTCATCAAAAACATAGGACAGAAGGCGCCTCATCAAAAACATAGGAACCATTTCATTCATAATGGATGTTAGAAGAGACAAGTAGGAACAACAAGAGCACAATCGTACGCACAGTAATGCATTAATTGTACAAAGAAACGAGAAATTCTGGTGGATTTGCATTAGAAGAAGAGGTCCACCCTAGAGACGACAACCTCTTAACAATAAGATCCAGCGCCTGATCATCGCTGATGAACAAAGTTCACCCACGTCATTATCTAGATCTCATCGGTTTGGTCACCACAACTATGATGATAAACACTTTTCGGCACATATCTGTGACATGTGACAGCTAATAATTAATGAGCTACAACAATCTTAACGTAAATCAATCGATTTTTTGAAGGTGCCTTTCTTAACGGCCTTCGAAGCTTGTAAAGTGAATTATTTTATTTACAAATGCTTCAAAAAATACTGCTGGGCTGAAAATTATGAGAACTTTGCAGTAAACCGCCAAAGGTAACGACGGCGAACATTACAATGGGCAGTTTAAGTGGAGCATTACCTCAATCTAGTCCGGAAGAGGAGTAAAAGTCTCGAAGGAGAAGTATAACAACAAGNTAGGTTTTGAACTCAGCGGCGTAAAGGCAACGATCGAACGCTGTTTTCGAAATTTTGTTGAGCATTAAATAAACATATTCTCATTGTATACAGTAATTCCGGCACCTAGAAAAACGTACCAATCTAGGATTACAATCAAAATTGATCCATAAATAACAGGCGCGTTTATATGAATCGGAAAACTATAAAAAATGAAGCCAACGTAATCTCATCACAACGCCAACGCATGTAAACACAAACATCATGTGAAGCTCTGTTTAAACATCGCCATTCATAATGATGTTATTTAAAAACAAACACGTGAGGACGGACCTACAATCGACAATCGATGTCAATGTCGAGTCGTATGTTGAATACCTCGGATAGGGGAATGGGGGAGGTTCCAGGGATTGAATCGCAACTGACGAGAATTTCAAACAATCATTCTGTCGTCGTGAATCGGAAAGGGGACGGTGGAGCAGAAATTTGACAAAGGCTTCCGCATAGTCAAATCAAGACTCAACAACTCTAAGCGATCACGGTCTTCACGATTTTTCTACTGACTGAAAGTTCAGAGAAGCGCTACTCTTTTGAGATGGACCCATGGTAAAAGTAAACCCTGTGATTACAACCTTACTGTGCCACCAAGGCCAGGAGTGCTCACCCCAGCTGGCCAGAACTGCTACTATAAGGGGATCGCGCTTTTCTGAACACCCACAAGCTAGTCGTAGAGACCGAACCACGTGATGGCCGACGACTGTTGATCTTTCACCTGGTGTGTGAGATAGATTAGCAATTTCCCCTCCACCGTTTCTAGTTGGACCCATGGCAATGAAAAAGACCATGTGTGGGTTAACTTGCGTTGAAATCAGACATATGTGATCAGTCTCCTTTTCCACGCTTAGGGTTTTCTGCATTGGGCCCATACTATCAGCCAAAGCGCAAATCACGAATAAAATTGTATACTCGGTATACGGAACAATCATATAATTTCCAAATTCTTAAGCCAATGTTTGCCGCGACAACTATTCAAAACATCTTATGAAGTGACGGAATTGGTCATGATTACATACTTCCGCTTTGTAGTAGTTTCGGTATAGAATATGAGCATTCATTCAATATGTTTTCACATCTGTACAAACATAGGATTGCTTGCTGAGCATCCTTGACGCAAAAGGCTGCCTACGTCCACAATCATGTGTTAATTCTTGAGTTTTAATATCACATTGCGGCTGTTCAGATGTAGAAAGAACGAACTTAAATTGCATAACTTTACATCAATTATAGAGCCTTCAACAAAAGTGAAATGTTTGGGAAAAAAGGAGGAGAATTGGTTGCATGCGGCTTTTTTCTCGATCGCACCCGCTCGGAATGATTTTCAACAAACATTGCGCAATCACCGGCTGGCATTCGCAGCTGCTTGGAGGCGTGAATGCATTTTTCACAGTAAGAACGGTTAGTAAAAAAAAGCTGTTCGCAGGCATACCGGGAAGTGCGACGGAGATACAAGATGAACAGCCTCTTATCACGTCGAGCACGTGGTGTTGCGCCGAGGTTCTTACCCATTTCCTACTTGGTGTAGAGAGATAACAAAGACCTGATTGTCGCAAATAGTAGTGGTAAGTATCAAGGTCACCCACTGAAGAATGGGTCATCTAAATATAAAAATTCCAATCGTAGACGCATACTTAAGTGCAATTTACGCATACTAAGAAACGTAGGCAATCAAAGTTCAAGTCAGTACTTTGGTCCTCTCAGAGCAGATACCATCTAACGATAACGTTTAAAAATAAAGTTTTTGTTTGGATCTTCTCCAATCAGTTCAAACAGAAATGTATGAGAAATAAACTTTATGTTCGATTTTTAACATTATAGTAGTGGGCTGCTTTCCCTGGTCTCTTTGCCCAGCCTCTCAAAATGCATATTTGTGGGACACTATTCGTAAGTTTCTAGTAAGTAGCTAATGGAGGAGAAAAAGGATTCCAAGGGATAATGATTAAAAGAATGACAAAGTGAAACTTGAAAGGAATTCAGCATATCTATTAGGAACAGCTGGTAAAAGCGAGGAATTCAATGTGTCCCATTGAACTATCTGATTACTCAGTGACGTCATGCACTGCATGACATTGAGCAAATGACGTCGAGCTATCACGAGGAAAGGCACGAAAAAATGGGCTGGTCTTACCTCCACAGCTGACGCGGAAAAATTTTTATATTC